GGGGGGGGGGGGGGAGGTCCATTTCTCTGTCCCCACTCATTCATCTTGTGGGCTTGTGTGCTTTCTTCCCAGGTGTTTGATGCCACCAATACCACCAGGGAGAGAAGGGACATGATTTTGAACTTTGCCGAAGAGAATTCCTTCAAGGTAGGACTTTGACTCCATGCTGGAGGAAAAAGAGTGAGTGGTGGTGGGGAGTTAGGAGGAGGCATGGATCTGTTTGACTCTGTGGGTGAGGACAGAATTGGGTATCTGATTCTCTTCTTTTGGGGCATGCCTCCAATCCTTGAGTGTTTTTTTTTCAGGTCCTTTCTCAGACCTTTAGCCTGTATGTTTGAGGCCCAGGGGATGTGGTAAGAGCTATTTTTAAATGAGGAGGCCTTGAAGGCCACTTTGATGATGAAAATCCTGGGAGATGTGGTGCCTGGGTCGGGTAGATGAGCTCGTGCTCTTAGGTAACAGCCTGGCATTTCTGACTTGTTTCTCACTGCCTTCTCTCCATGGCCAGGTATTCTTTGTGGAATCTGTCTGCGATGATCCAGATGTCATTGCTGCCAATATCCTGGTGGGTGACACCCCTACATGCTACCTCCTCTTCACCTTTTGTGCCCTGCATGTGTGTGTTGGGGGAGGGGGTTCTGTTTATGAAAGAGAGAAATACATGTTTAATATCACAGAGATCTTTTCTATCTGTCAGTGTACCATTTTGTACCTCCGCACTCTCCCCTTGGGAGAGGAAACCAAGGCTTTGAGGAAATAAGTAAGAATTAGTTGGTGAATGGCGACCAAGACTTGGACTATAGGAGTCCTTGCCCTGTGTTCTGGGTACCATCTGGATGTTGAGACCTAGAAATTAAATAGATCAGAATCTTCATTATCTGTCGGGGCCACCTTATAGGAAGGTCATCTGCCTAGCAATTGTTCTATATTCGGTCGGCATTCTATCCATTGAGCTTCTCATGTTGTGTGGGGTCACAGCATGAGACAGAACCCATTTGATGGGTTGTGCTGTGCTGCGCCAAGTAGATATCTGTGCATGGTCTTCTGGGGATGTTCTCCCAGCAGCATAGGAACTTTGGATTTATCTGAGAAAGAGGCATCTGGTCCCAAGTCAGGCATTGGGTCACACACCCTACTGAATGGTAATGGGGAGAAATTAGAGCCCATTTTGTCTTCCCAGGAAAGTACATAAAGAGATTGGGCCCAGGAGCAGCTTTAGCTGCATGGCTACCCCTGTCCTTCAGCCAAGGGCAGACACATGACTCCCCCGTTGTCTTTCCCTTCTTGGTTGCCAGGGTCACAGGATGGGGGTGGGGGTGCTCAGTGAATGGGAGTGCCAACACTCCAGTGAAAGGCCACTTTTATGGACTCTTTTTCTTTTTTTAAGCAATGGCTGTTTGTAGGAGGGCTGGTGAGGGCAGACCTCTGACTAGGCCCTTACTGTTCCTGTGATTTCAGGAGGTAAAGGTGTCAAGCCCTGACTACCCTGAAAGGAACAGGGAGAATGTGATGGAGGATTTCCTGAAGAGAATTGAGTGCTACCAGGTCACCTACCGACCCCTTGACCCAGACAACTATGACAAGTAAGATTTAAGGGTGTGGTTTGAAGGGCCTGAGGCAGGGGTCTCATCTGGGAAAAGAACCTTTCTCCCTTTGCTGCCTAACTTCCTTCTGGTTATCCAGATCTATAATTTTTACATCATTCCAGAGAAACAAGGTATAGATTTGTGGCTTTTATGTGGGTTGCATCTTACATTTGAACACCGAAGTATTTTTTATCCTTAGTTTTTCCTCTCTATTCTCTGGAGCAAGATTTCTCAATCTCGGCATTACTGACATTTTGAACTGGATAATTCTTTGTCGTAGGGGCTGTCCTGTGCATTGTAGGAAGTTTAGCAACGTCCCTGGCTTCTGCCTGCTAGATGCCAGTAACACCTCCAAGCTGTGACAACCAAAATTGCCTCCAAACGTTACCTCTGTCCCCTGGGGGGGCAGGGGGGGGCAAAATTACCCTTGGTTGAGAACCGCTGCTTCAGATTAGTAGTTATGAACTAGGGTGTGTTAGGATACCCCTCGGAGATGTGTCACCAGTTCTAGATCAATTTTTTAAAGTTTACTATATATATATTATATAATATTATATGTATTATGCATATGTTTATCATATATATTATAATGTTATAACACACTATATAATATATTACATATTGCATATAACATGTATATATGTACATATGTGTGTATATATGTATATGCGTATATGTAAATATAAATATACTGTGTGTGTGTGTGTATATATGTATATGCATATATGTAAATATAAATATACTGTGTGTGTGTGTGTGTGTGTGTGTGTGTACATATGTGTGTATATATGTATATGCGTATATGTAAATATAAATATACTGTGTGTGTGTGTATATATGTATATGCATATATGTAAATATAAATATACTGTGTGTGTGTGTGTGTGTGTGTGTGTATATGTATATATTGAAAAAAAAACATGGAAAGCCCTCAGGGACATTCCTGACTCAGAGAAATGTTAGATCAATGCTAGGTATCATTACTATGGCAGCGTTTCTTGGCAGCGTGGTATAGAATTTGGATTAACTTGCCGTGCATGAGGTATAAGAGCCATAGCAAAATGTCAAGTTCGTGTTGAAGAAAGATGGTGTGCACATGGAAACCTGCAAGAATATAGCCTTGTGAAAGAGCTTACATCCAGGACAGTTAACAGTTCTATTCCAATAAGGATATAGACCTGCAGCCAAGAAAATGGTGAGACAGGTGTGCATGGCACACTGTTAATTTGCTGCAGTGGTATGTTTAACATTTTGAACCTTTCCATTCCTTCAAGTGGGTTGCCCAGAATGGCAGTATTTAGAAAAGTGTTCCCTTAATACAGAGGTTGAAAACCACTGCCCTAGACATGGCATAACAGTGTATTCTTCAGTTAGGCAAAAGTCCTATATAGAAAAACACTTCAGAAGAATGTGTGTGTGTGTGTGTGTGTGTGTGTGTGTAGATAGATGTTAACTGTGGTAGAAGTATAAGGGTGATTTGCATCATTCTTTTTTTTCTGAATTTGTTTTTGGAATAAGCATTTATTACTTTTATAGTGTGAAAAATCCCGTGATGGCCACAAAGCGAGTAGTGTGTAGAAATGTCTTTGGGAAGGGCTTGCTTCGGTAGACGCAGGGAGTGCATGGCCATCTCTACCTGTGATTCTGCTGCCTCCCCCCATCACCTCATGGCTGGTGGGACCACATTCTGGCCAGTTTTTGACCACCTCAGATGGGGCCTCTGCTTTCACCTTATTTTGGGTTTAGCAAAATCTTCAGGCCATCCATCTAGCCCCTGATGGGAAGCCTGAATTCTGTTGACCATATTTATCTGTATTGCATGGCATAGTATAGGCACTGAGGAAATGGTGCAGACTGACTAGAAGTTCAGGAAATTGTACTTCATTTTGGTTTTGAGGGGGAATCTGTCTCTTACTATTTGATTCCATAAGCAGGGTATGACAGAGGAGAAGAGGAGGAGCTCTGTGAGCCTGTAAGTCACTGTAGAAATCCTTTCCCCTCCTACTCTTATTCTCAGACTTACACACACAGGGAATTTTTTTTTTCCTGCTCTGCCCCAGGGATCTTTCTTTCATCAAGGTGATAAATGTGGGCCAGCGGTTTCTAGTCAACAGAGTCCAGGACTACATCCAGAGCAAGATCGTCTACTACCTCATGAATATCCACGTCCAGCCTCGCACCATCTACCTTTGCCGGCATGGAGAGAGCGAGTTTAATCTTTTGGGGAAGATTGGGGGTGACTCTGGCCTCTCGGCACGGGGAAAGCAGGTGAGTAGTTAGCCAGCAGGCTGGATCCCCTAGGCTTAGAGTAAGAAGGGCATAGCAGAGGTCATCTCTTTTATCCCCTTCTTTTAAAATCCCACTTGGGCTTAGGCTGTGGTTTCAGAGAGTCAAGCAAGTGCTTAGGATTTTTCTTGCTCACTGCTTCTAGCTCTGTACTGAAGTGTAGATAACTTGGAACCATTTCCTTTCTGCTGTGATCATTCAGCCATCAGATATTTATTGGGCATGACTCGTGTTCTCAGCACCGCCCAGGTTGCTACAGCTGTGGGTCATTTCCTCTTGGATTTCTATTAGCTATGCAGCACCTTACAGGTTTTGACCGTGGCTGTACACGTTGCCCATTACAGGCCAAGTTAGCAGCTTTTGTGTGTGCGTGTTGTATGTGTTCTTTCTTTTTTTAACTTTTATTTTCAAACCCCAGTTTGCCCAAGCTCTACGGAAATTTCTGGAGGAACAGGAGATAGCAGACCTCAAAGTATGGACAAGTCAGTTGAAGAGGACTATCCAGACTGCTGAATCTCTTGGGGTGACCTATGAGCAGTGGAAGATTCTGAATGAGATTGATGCCGTGAGTAGGAAGCTCTGAAGACCAAAAAGCCAATAAGAGTCTCATATTCAGGCAGGAACTCTCAGAAGTCGTGATTTGGGCAGTTTTATCTAGAAAACTAGAACCACCAAGTAGAAACTTTGGGGAAGCTGAATCTACGGCCAGTTCGGAGGTGGGGGGAGGAAGTGGGGACAGTTGCACCCCCAGTTGGGACTTCCTGTCTGCTTCAGTACCTGTGCCAGTGGTGGAACCCAAACCGATTTTTGACCCAGCCATTCTGGGACCTGGAAGAGTGGGGCTAACAAGGACTCATTTTGTTCCTTTGTGTATTTTCCTCCTGGGAAAAAGAAATAGCTAGGGCCGGCCCGGTGGCACACTGGATAGTGCGCCGCTTGGCAAGCGCGGCAGCGCTCCCGCCCGAGGGTTCGGATCCCACGTACAGACCGGTTCCCGCTCACTGGCTGAGCGAGGCGCGGGAGCAACGCCGAGGGTTGCAATCCCGTTGCCGGTTCCCGGTCCGGTATGGGGGCAACACTGAGGGTTGCGATCCGTTGCCGGACACGGAAAAAGACAAAAGACAAAAAAAAAAAAAAAAAAAAAAAAAAAAAAAAAAGCAAACAC